CTCTCTCTCACACACACACACACACGCGCACACACACATGGTTGTGGGAGAAATGAGCGAATAGCAGCTCTCGTAACGCTCCAATATGGAAATGAATATATCCTTCCACTGCCAAGATCAACGGCTGCCACAGAAGGGGAGATGGATTGGAGGAAGGAAAAAAAAAAACGATTAAAATAAAGAAGAGGGAGATGAAGGAGGGGAGTTAAATCCTGCGCAATGCCTTGCTGTAATGCTCACAGAGAGGAGGACACAGAGAGAGAGAGTGAGTGAGAAAGAGAGAGGAGGTGGGGGTGTGCTCCAGTCTTTCAATTCTCTGTGGTTTCCAGCAGATCGGCTCGCCTCTGTGTTGGTATATTGAGTCCACAGAATGCACTCTCGTGTGTGTGTGTGTTGTTTCTCAAGCGCGTGCTGTCCTCAGGCTAGCCTTTGGTGCGCATGTGTGTCTGTGTGAGTATGTGTGTGAGTAAGTGCGTGTGTGTGTGTTGCTTTCTCCATATGTGCATGTGGTGAGGCGTGCAGTGTAAACGTGTGCCAGCCTTTTCAAAGATAGTAACATTAGTGAGGGATGAGGGGAGAGAAGAGGGGTCGAGAAAACAGCTGATTCTTTATAGATAGATAGATAGATAGAGATAGTAGCAGCCATGCATTTTACTTTCTGTGATATCACAGCACTTGACATCATTCAACTGCTACTTGTATTGGCTGAATATTAATCTATCTATCTGTCTACAGTGTAGATCTGTCCAACCTATACTGCATCAGTTATGTATATAGATAAATACTGTAGATCATCATGCGACTTTGCTGCTTTTAAAGGCTGCATGTGAATCTATCTATCTGAAAGAAGAAGAAAAACATGATTCTTCTTCCTTTGTTATGTGCAGATTGATGAATGGATGCATGCACAGATAGGTGAATGGATATATTGATCCAATCACATGTAGCCAACACCAGCAGCGATGCATTTTACGCTCTATGATGTCATCAAGCTGACATCATAACAGCAACAGTGCAGGAATGTAATCATCCATGTACTGGCCATTGTTCACATGGACTAACTAGACCAAACGTCATCCACATATACAAACATTCCTGCTATTGCCTGGTGTGCTGAATAATGCATAGAGGCATGCAGGCCACGCTGCAGCACCAGCACCTCAAAAAAAGAGAAATGCATCCATTGCAGCTATTTATAGGAGGAAAAGCATTCTGCGACATCAGAAGCGTTTACCTCCTATATGTTGTAGGCTGTTGCAACACACCGTGTACTTCAGAAGGACCTCAGTGCCGCCCACCTGCTTTCACAAGCCAGACATTGACAAGAAAAAGCACTACAGCTCCATTAAATCCTTACCATGCCATTTCCCTCCTTATCAGAACCTCTGTATGTAATGAAGTACGTATGTGGGTGTGTACATGGATGATTCCGTGAGTGCAGCTCACGTTGAGGACAGTGTCATATTTTGGTGGTGAGTCTTCAAGGTGTCGGTAGGGGCTGCGCTGACATCATGTTACCTAAGCAACAGAGGTAAAGAAACAGAGAGAGAGAGAGAGGTGGGGGATTGAGAGGGTGTTTTTTGACTCACTGTTAGCGTATGCTACTTGAGCTCTTTGCGATAATCTGCAATGTAAAGACCCTGCTGCTCTGTTTGCCATCACATACACCCTGCACTTCAGTCCTGGCATATTCAAATAGATATTAACTACACTAGCATAATTTAGGATACATGAATATAATTTAATTAATTTGAAATGCATATTAAGCTAAGCTTAAAACCATACAATATAGCAGAATCTACTGCACAGATCAGTGAACCAGGTAAAACAATACATTAAGTACAATGTACTCACACACACTCAGTTCATTTCTACTTCAGTAACCCACACACATGAGCTGAGGACAGGACATTAAGCTTATTACGACCAGAAGAATCGTATTCTTAATTACCGAGATATTGTTGTACATAATTGAAACAGCACACATTCACATACTCATGAATACACACACCTCGCTGCCTCTGATTATTATGCCCTGACGTACATTCCATAAATATGGTACACTTTTATATCTCATGAATTTTTGATTTTGAAAGCATTAGAGGCACAAATCCATGTTTTTTGTTGTGCGAACTTCAAACAATTAAATGTTTACTTTGATCTAAAATTAACATAGCAAGCTATCAAATGTCTATTTTCTATTAACCAAATTAATTTTAATAATTTAGACTTAATGGGTAACACTTTAGTATAGGGACCAATTCTCACCATAGCTGCTTATTAGCATGCATATTACTAGCTTATTTGCTGTTTATTAGTACTTATAAAGCACATATTCTGCATGACCATATTACACACCCTTAATCCTATCCAATACCTAAACTTAACTTAACTACCTTACTAACTATTAATAAGCAGCATGATTAGGAGTTCATTGAGGCAAAAGTCGAAGTTAATAGTTAGCTAATAGCGAGAACTGGACCTTAAAATAAAGTGTGACCATTTCACGCTCTGTTTTTGTAGCCTATTCATGGGAAGTGCCACATATATTTCACACTCTCTACTTTTCTCCTTCACATCCCATTGCTCCCTCATTAAAGGTTTTGTATTTAACCATAACATGGTAAAATCTGTTCAGTTTAAGTAGGATTGATTGCTTGCCGTGTTGTCGGTCTGAGGGTTTGGTTTAGACTTCATGCTGTATCACATCATTGTTTGTTTTTGTGTGTGGGATGTTTGTGTGGAAAAGCGAATGAAAGAAGCTCAGAAAACTGGGTATTTACTAAATTATCTGCTCTGCTGGAGTCACATGTCTTCCATCATTCACACTTCTAACTGTGCTGGGATGCGTCTGAGAGCTTGCTCATCACTATTTTTGGGTAATCTTCATTCCAGTGTTGTCCAAATCTTTAGGATGCTGGAGGAGACATGGTGACTGTAATCTTCCAGTGTTGTTACAGTATGTCTGCTGGGTCTAGAGCTTTATAATACACGTCTATTCATTCAATAGATTGTCTCCCCTCTGCTAGCCATCTTCCCTGCTATTACCTATATATTAGTAGCAGCTACTATAGCAGCTATTACCAACACTGCCTTCCACTCTCTGGCTCTTTATTTTACAACTCTATTAATTAGCTTCAGTGTGATAGATGGTCCTACTCTGGTCTCTCACTCTCTGAATTATTGAAGTTAAAAGATTTTTACTCAAACGAACAATTTACTGCAGTTTAATCAGACCCATCATCTCATTGCAAATTCTAACTGTCCTACTAATTACACAGAGGCCTTAAACAACAAAAGCTTGTTCTGTAAAAATCAGCAGTTTATGGGGGACACGGATCTACAGACTATTATTTTATTACAGTTATTAGATATCGGGTTTGATAGATGAGGTACTGGGTTTAAGTTAATAAACTGAAGTATGAGGTATAGGGTTGAGGAACGAGATACCAGGTTTAATGTATGAGCTATCAGGACTGAGACATGAGATATCAGGACATTTTGTATGTTTAAAGGGGTCATATGACGTTGCTAAAAAGAACATTATTTTGTGTATTTGGTGTAATGCAATGTGTTTATGTGGTTTAAGGGTAAAAAAACACATTATTTTCCACATACTGTACATTATTGTTTCTCCTCTATGCCCATATGACCCCTTTAAGCTTGTGAGAGTGGGCGGCCACTGATGCATGCTGGGATAATATCCCAGTCTAATGGAACAGGGTCTTCAGCAAAAAAATAAAAAATTTATAAATAAATAAAAATATGTCTCAGTCAACTATTCACATATACATTTCCACAAACATGTTTCTTAATTGGTGTATTTCATTTGATATGTTATAATACTAACTGCATATAAAAATCATTATCTTTTCTTATTTTTGTGTCTGTGTTTCTTTCCTGCATAGCCATTGGGGTACAGATGTCTCTTGAGATGTTGGAAAAAAGGTTTTGGTCCATAGCCACTCAGGTACTAAAACAAATATATCCAATCATCTATACTGCAATTACAATTTATTGCTTGCTGTCAGTTTATGTATGTTTATTTTAGGACTGCGTTCATGTTTTGATAACCTTGGAAAAAGTATTAATAAACAAATGTAAAATGTAATAATAAATTATATTAATTTAAAATATATATTATATTATAAAACAAATGTCAACAGGATGTCTCCATAAGGATATGTACACAAGTGTGTGTGATACTCGCCGGATGTGTCATCTGTTTAAACATTGTGCATTCTGTGATGGGAGGTGAAGACAAACACAATAATGTTAGTGGTGACACTCCTAGCACAGGCTTTTGACATTTATGATACAAACAGAAGATGCTGAGTGTTGAGAGAGGGGTGGGAGAGTCCAGAAGGCACTCAAAAAGAATTGGGAGCGGAGCCGATATCACGCTCTACATCCTCCTCAGGGTGGACACTCTCCCTTTCTTCTCGTACCACTGGGATTTTCCATGCCTCCCTGAACGCTCTTCCACTTCAGCTGCCACATTACCACTGTGTCTGTGCTCACTCCTGACTGCAGCGATATTAACTAATGCCTTATTCAGTGATGTCAAAGCTGATGAAACACCATAGTGATTATTTTTACAGTTTTAATGTTTGAAATTTGAAAATCCAAATCCATTAAGTAAATCTATAAGGATCTTCAGCAGTGCAAAACATGGCACACACTGTAAGATTAAAGATGCATGCAGTGAGCAAGAGCGGCATTAATGTCTGTGTAATTTGCACAAGGTTATTCTCAGGCCTAGTTGAGAATAATGAGTGTTTTTGCCCCTAGAGCACACATACATAATCTTTCAAACAAGACAAATTTACTTGTGACGCAAAGTTATGTAAGACAAAATATTATGAGAGTATACATCTTTGAAGCTTATTTGCCCAACCCCATGGGCATGTTTTAAGCATAAACGTACACTGTAACAAACTGCTGTAAAACAGACAGCAATATTTTACAGCAGCGGGCTGTTTTTCTAAAAATACAGCATATTTGCTGTGAACAGCATTCTGGGGGCACGTGGTGTTTGACGCAAATGTACAGTATATTGCTGCAAATTTCAAATCTACAGAGGCATTGTGGGATCTTCAACGGTCGAGATTCGGGGAGCAGCAAGAGGAGGGATTCACAACTGTAGTAAGTGACTTCTTATTTCAGTTTTTTTTTATTTTTCATGTTTGGTAACTGTAGTAGTAGTGGTCGCCGTGATTTTGCCATGTACGACATCCTGGATCAACATTACTGTCCAAAAATATAAACCTAACCCAATCCCTACCCCTAAACCTACCCATAATTTATTATTTCCTAAAAATCTGAGTGAAATGATAGGTGAATAACAAGGGTGTAGAAGCATCTATAACTGATTGTAAGCCAATTCTGATTGGTTGATTGGAATCAACAACGATCGACATCCTTGTTGATCCTGGAACATAATGTACTTGGTGAAATCACGTTCACCCTACATTCATATCCGTAACCCCAGATTCACACATCAGGGTTGCAGCAGCGCAGTCGCGATAGGATTTAACAGCAGTGTTGCCAACTTAGCAATTTCGTTGCTAGATTTAACAACTTTTAAGACTACTCTAAATATAGCATACACACATTAAAATAATTTACTGTACAGCAATTTAATGCTGTAACTTAAATTACAGCTGTAAAAATTACAGTAACTGGATGGCAACCCTGCTGCCAGTATTTTACTGTAAAATGTACAGGTAATCACGTTCACCCTACATTTATATCCGTAACCCCAGATTCACACATCAGGGTTGCAGCAGCGCAGTCGCGATAGGATTTAACAGCAGTGTTGCCAATTTAGCAATTTCGTTGCTAGATTTAACAACTTTTAAGACTACTCTAAATATAGCATACACACATTAAAATAATTTACTGTACAGCAATTTAATGCTGTAACTTAAATTACAGCTGTAAAAATTACAGTAACTGGATGGCAACCCTGCTGCCAGTATTTTACTGTAAAATGTACAGGTAATTTTTACAGTGTAATTTAAAACAAACCAAAGAAAGAAAGAAAGAAAGAAATTACACTACCATACAAAATTTGGTATCAGTAAGATTTTATGTTTTTTTAATGTTTTTTGAAAGAGGTCTGTTATGCTCACCAAGGCTACATTTAATCAAAAATACAATAAAAACAGAGATATTGTGAAATATTATTACAATTTTATTTTAATGTGTAATTTTTCCCGTGTTGGCAAAGCTGAATTTTCAGCATCATTACTCCAGTCTTCAGTGTCACATGATCCTTCAGAAATCATTCTAATATGCTGATTTGTAAACAGTTTTCTTTATTATCAGTGTTGAAAGCTGTTTAATATTTATTAGTACTGTTTAATATTTTTGTGGAAACCATGACATATGTGATTTTTTTCAGGATTATGTGAACAAGAGAAGAGCATTTATTTGAAACAGAATTTTTTGCAATAATGTAAAAGTCTTTATGGTTACTTTTTA